CCTGTATCTCCAAGAAAGGCTCTCTAGCCTCCTGAGGAGGTTGACATGGGGCCCACTGGAGAGCCTAGAGCCGTTTCAAAGCAACTCTACTTCGGAAAACAGTTGCAAAGTTTTTCCCCTTCGGCTGAACTGAGCTTGTTCAGACATATTTAGGTCTGCAGTGCGATCACCTGTAAACACAGGACCAGGTGGGTTGGTGGTTTCTTCATTTCCTTTTCCAGAAAGTGATTTTCCAAGAGATTTCACACAATATGCTGTCATAAACCCTCCGTGCTTTTACCGTACTTTAACAGTTGGAAGGGACCTTGCAGGTCATCTAGTCCAACCCCCTGCTCAAGCAGGAGACCCTACACCATTTCTGACAAATGCCAGTCCAATCTCTCCTTGAAAGTCTCAAGTGATGATGCTCCCACAACTTCCAAAGGCAACTTCTGTTCCATGGGTTGATGGTTCTCACTGTCAGAAAGTTTCTCCTTATTTCCAGGTTGAATCTCTCCTTGTTCAGTTTCCATCCATTATTCCTTGTCTGGCCTTCAGGTGCCTTGGAGAATAGCTTGACCCCTTCCTCTCTGTGGCAGCCCCTCAAATATTGGAAGACTGCTATCATGTCTCACCTGGTCTTTCTCTTAACTAGACTAGCCAAGCCCAGTTCCTGCAACCGTTCATTGTGTTTTATCCTCCGGTCCCCTAATCATCCTGATTGCTCTTCTCTGCACATTTGCAGAGTCTCAACACCTTTTTTACAGTGTGGTGACCAAAACTATCTTCAGTACTCTAGGTGTGGTCTTACTAAGGCTTTATAGAGTGGTATTAGTACCTCACTTGATCTTGATTGTATCCCTCTGTTGATGCAATTTAGGATTGCATTGGCTTTTTTGGCTGCTGCCGCACACTGCTGGCTCCTATTTAACTGGTTGTCCACTAAGATTCCAAGATCCCTCTCACAGTTAGTGCTATTGAGCCTGGTTTCACCCAGACTATATGTGTACTTTTGGCTTTTTTTGCTAAGTGGAAGACTTTGCTTTTCTCTACATTGAATTTCATTTTGTTAGATATGAGCTTCAAGTCTGTGAAGATCTTAGCGCAAACAACACCTTCCCCTTTGTGTGTTTTTGGTGTTTTTCCACCTATCTGGTCCCTTCTTGGTCTTCTCTTCCTTTCTAGCGTGCCCATAGCACATAGATATGTAAGAGAGGTTTTTTTAAATTTTATTTTGCTGTGATACCTGGCTCTTGGCCAAGGTGTGCTGTTTATAGCCGTACCTTCCCCTGCGTTTCCTCCAATAAGGCTGTGTTGTCCACAGAGGTTGCTCTGGGTTACAACTCGTGAAATTGTTGAATACCTACGGGGATTAAAAATAAATGCCCTTGTTTACTCTTGGATCAGCAAGAGATAGACGGGCTGGGATAGATTTTTTCACTTGAAAAAGCAGCGAAGGTGTCACTTCCTCCACGTATCGGCTGAGCCTGAAATTTGAAAGCAAGGCAGCTTTTAAAGTGCATTTCGTCCCATTTTTAATTATCTTTCTTGCCACCATTGTTAAGCAAATCACTGCAGCTGTTAAGCTTATTATTTATATTGAGATAGATAGATAGTTTAGATTAGATAGATGATAGATTAGATTAGATAAATAGATGATACCCTGTTTCTCCAACAATATGGCCTCCCCCAATAGGAAGTCCCAGCATGTTTTATAGGCATGAAATGAAATTAAGCCCCTCCCCCCCAAATTAAGGCCTATATTAAAACATGCGAAATGGGGGGGAATGGTGGGGGGGCTTGCTGTTAGGAAGTACTTTAGTTGCACACCCGGATATGGTGCTGCCTGCGTTGACCCTGATATGAAGTGCCCCACCAATGCCGAGGTCCACATCCAAGCCATCGCTGCCCGCCCACCCGAAGATGCAAGGGGGGGGGAATTAAGTCACCCCCGAAAAGACGGCCTAGCCATTTTTTCGGGGCTCAAAAAAATAAATAAGACCCGGCCTTATTATATGAGAAACACGGTAGATAAATTAGATGGATGGATGGATGGATGGATGGATGGATGGATGGATGGATGGATAGATAGATAGATAGATAGATAGATAGATAGATAGATAGATAGAT